TCCACACATACATACACACATATGTATGTGTACATATATTTCTATCTATCTGGGTTTTATATATATATATATATATATATATTAATTTATATGTGTATATATATATATATATATATATTATAAATTAATTGATTTAAAATATTGTTTTTTTCGCTACACAGTTCCAACCATGTTTCAAAAATAGAAGCTAAAAACTCCGAATTTAATTTTGCAATTAAATTAAAAGCATTTGTTCCATTTCATCTTCAAGCGAATTTTGGAGTAACTTTCAAAAATTACCGGGTTTTAAAGACACAGCTAAAATCACGTTTCCATGGTTACAGAATATTCTACTTAGATTGAACAAGTTTTTTTCGCTATTGAGCACTATTTCATAAAAATAAAAATATCTATAAGAACACCGGATTTTATATCTTACTGTTCTTTCTTTTTATATATATATATATATATATATATATATATATACTAGCAGTAGAGCCCGATGTTGCCCGGGGATATAACAGTAAGAGATAGATCAAGTATCGACCATCATAAAGACTGAAAAATAAAATTGACAAAGATTATTGTTTAAGGTTGACGGACACGCATGTCTTTATTTTATTTTATTTTTTTTTAACGAATCGGTCAAACCCAAACTCAAACAAAAACATTGTTTTCAATCGTTATGAATCTATCAATTGAATAGAATTTTATTATAAACAATTGTCTTGCAAATGGAATTTTTGAAGCATTCTGAATGCAAAAATAAAGAAAAAAGTGTGAAAGGCAATAAGAAACACTACGTGCCAAAAAAAAGTGAAGTTTTGTTGAAATCAGTTGAAAAATGTAGGAAATCCGATACCATATATATAAAGGAACGCACACACACACACACACACACACAGACAAACAACCTGGGTTTTATAAGTATAACTCGATATGAGTTGTCCCCCTTTCATTCTGGCGATAGAATCGTGTTTTATCGTGTTTTCAAATTGATTTCGTGCAAAAACTATTGTTTTTCCTATTTTTGGTGCTGTGAGAACCACTGCAAGCTAATTTTATGCAGTTCTGTAAAGTTTTGTTGAAATCGGTTGAAAAATGTAGGAAATCCGATCCAATATATAAACGTACAGACACACACACACACAATCTGCGTTTTATAATACGTAAGATATATAAATATAATATATTAAATTCTTATATATATATATTGAATTCTTATCTATCTATCTATCTATCTATCTATATATATATATATACCCAGCTGTAATGAGAACAAGAATGATGTAAATTCTTACGTTCACAGCATTAATTCAAAAGAGGGCTCAATACCAAGAGTAGAGCAATAACTAAAAATAGTTTTTAGTTCCCACCAGTCAAGATGCAAATAAGGCATTGAAAAAAGAATGCATCTTTGTAGTGGTTAATTAGTTTTGTCCACATTTAAAATCTATAATATATATATATATATATATATATATATATATATATATCAAGTATGTGGTGCAGTTCAATTTACATGTAATGTAAATTGAACTTGACCACATTTAAATTTAAATCATTAACTTCTATATATGTTTTTGTATGAATGATTTATGTAATTTTATATATATATATATATATATATATATATATATATATATATATATATATATATCACCATGTGCATCCTACATCCAGATGATGATATGTAAGTCTTGTTGCAAAACAACACAGGTATTGTTGGCAGATTGGTATAGTTGCCTTGATTCTTGTTGTTACGACAATCTTTCAGATGGTTTACATAACTTGTCCTCTACAACAGGATACACTCACACACACCATATTTTCAAGACTCCATATTAATTGGCTATTCTCACTCTGTGTCTCTATTTGTATATATATATATATATATATATATATATATATATATATATATATCCTCTAAAATTACTGGAATGACAAGGCACATTCATTTGTTTTTGTTGTTCACTGAAGACATTTGAATTTAAGATCTAAAGATGAATATGTGACAAGCATTCAGAATTTCAACTTTTATTTCCTGGTATTTACGTTTAGATTTGTTAAATAGCTTAGGACATACCACCTTTTGTATCAGGTTACCCATAGACAGTTATCTTGTATTCATATTGTTTTATCTTTTTTAACAATAAATGCAGTCTTTACAGGTGAAACCGGGAGTATTCATTGAGAGCTATTTTATGTTTAAATAATAAATCTAGAAGGCAACATCTGGGCAACAAGCATCACCTGTCAGTCATGTGTTCCAACAGATTTGTTAACTTGAAGAATGGGTGCATTCAAACAAAAGGTGGTATGTCCTAAGTTGTTTAACACATTTAAATTTAAATACCAGGAAATAAAACCTGAAATTCTGAATTCTTGTCTCATATTCATCTTTTGATCTTAAACCCAAATATCTTCAGTGAACCACAAAAACAAAGGAATTGGCTTTATTGTTCAAAGACTTTTGGAGGGTACAGTATATACACAAACATAATCAATAGAATAGAGCTATTATATACTATGTAAATTAGGCTTTCAAGCTAAGTATTCTTTCTTTTTTTACATGGGAATATTTCAGGAATGTTGTTACTGACAAATATTTTCTTTGCTTATTGAGAGACTGTTCCTCAGGAGTTTTTTAAAGTTATGTGTGTTGTGTGGAAATATCCTGTTTAGTTTATTTTTTTGCATATGCAGTTGATATCGCCTAAGAATACTTTTGTGTATTTCTCAGTAGATCTTTAGGCAAATGTGTTAATTTTAAATGATTTAATTATTTTCTTTGTACCTTTTTACTTAAAAATCTACATTTGCTTATGCATTGCAACAGGTGTTTTGGGAAAGTTAAGACTACATAAAACCTAATTTTACATTATATTATACAGTAAACCTTCTTGTGTTTACGAAAACTACACTCAACACTAAATACAAGGAGTGCTGAAAAGTTCTTGGTACAACAATGACGGAATTGAAAAAAAAACTTCTGATATTTAGGTAAGATTTAGAACAGTGGGTGGGATTTTTGAACACACACTTCTATTCAGCTAGGTTTTTGCAATATTGCATATACATTGTATTTTTGTTGCAGGATATAGAACATTATAGTAATATTACTACAACATAGTGTTATAAAATAAAATAAGACATATCTCGGCTGATTTACAGGCAAATACTCAAGAGCAAGAACCAGATGTGAATGGGACAAAGCCCCGTCACAAAATGACCATTATCTTTCTTTACAAATGTTCCCGACACACGTGTTTTGGTCGAAAAATAAAATAATATTTAAAGTGCTCTATTTTTCGTCCAATAAAAATGCTTCCCCCCTAATTATACTCGCTTCGTTTCTCGAGCCTGTTAAGCCATAAAAAAACACTGTAAAAGGGGTCACACAGAAGTTCAACGGCAGTCAACAGGTAGCCAGTGAACAGACCTGACGGTCAGGCCGAGCGATCAGCAGCAGGAGAGCATCAACCACCGTCAACATGTGTGAACTACTATGAGAGATCGACCAGATCCGAAAGCCGGCTTATGAACTTTACCACAAGGTAGCTGTCCCAAACCCTCACGTTCCTGTTGAAATAAACCACGTAAATCTAATTCTACTGTTGTCGTATTTCTTTCTTGTAACCATACGCTTGTCTATAACAATAGCAATCAACTATTTTCCTGACCCAAAACTGTCTGCCTATCCCCAACATTATCACAGCATTATAGTAATTCTTTCAAGTGCTGTAGCTGAAAAAATCTGCACTGATCAAGTATAAAATTCGAAAACTCTTTCTTCGCTTAACAATATGTAAAGAAGGTATAATATTTCTTCTCGTATTTTTCTAATTAAGACTAACTAACTCAGATGATGAATACACATTCTAATATCTTTCTGGAATTTATTACCTATCTTTTGTTAATGTAACAATGCAAGACAACGTATTTGCAACATTACCTTGTAAAGTTGCAGAAACATTGTGGGAACTGTACAAAAAAAAAAAAAAAAAATTTTATAACCTCTATGTAATATTGTAGAAATATAGTAACAATATCATTTTGTTCGCTGGGTACAAGTTTCAGCCAAAAAGTCATGCCTATTTAAATTTAATTTTAAAAGCATCCTTTAGAAGTCCTAAGTTTTATTTTATTTTCTTGTGTTTTGGTAGGAGCCATAAACCATAAAGTATTGAGAAGTCTCTACAGAGTTATCTTCTCTTTTCTTACCCATAATCCTCTCTCAAAAATGGCTGCACCTGTGGAAATACATTAAAAGAAAAAAGCTGCATAGAAACTTTGTTTTTGAAAAGAACAGGTGCTTCAAACATACACATGAGTTTAGTAAATGTTTATAGAAAGGCTGCACTTGATGTAGACAAAAGAGATAGGTCAGTAGAGTTAATCCTAGACAGAAATATGAAACTGACCTTTGCAGCAAGTCTGATGGTGATGTGAATAAGAACAAAGTTGAACGGTATGATTTTCTCATTATAGCTGATTGAAAAGTCACTATTGAAAAAGTATGTGAAATCCTTCAGGTGTGGCAAGGCAATGCCCAAAGTTTAGTGCAATTTCTTGATTACTGTTCACAGTGGTTCCCAGAATGCTGACAGAGCAATGTTTGATTGCTTCCCAAGATTTCTGGAGCTGCGTAACACAGACATCACTTAGAGGAGAGCAGTTCTCCAGTGTTGATCAGGTGAAAGAGTCAAATCATACATGGGTAAAAAAAAAACAGACAAGAAGTTTCTTACATGTGCTTCTTCAAACAGTGAATGCTATAACAATGAATGGAGACTAATTTGAGAAGCTGATTTGGACACCTGAAACTTTCATATTCATTTTTATAAGCTTTGTATGCTTCTACTATTAAAGCCATTGTAATTAAAGAACAGACATTACTTTTTGACTGACCCTCATAACATAAAATGTGATTTTGTGTTTATTTTGGTAAGATGTTTGCTTTTACTATAAAATATATTATAATTAAAGAAGAGATATATTGTTTTTACTAAAACCTGTAGATGCATATGTTTCTGTATAATGAATGAAAAGATTTGTAATATTTTTGTACATTGTGATTCAGTGTTTTATGGTTTCTATTCATTTCGGTTTTTTATTTGAGTTACAGGCTTCTTCTGGAATATATTTTTAGTTATTTTTTCAGTACATCTGTATCATGTAATCTAAGAAATATATGTGAGCAAGTGCTGAAAAGTTCATGGCTCAGCCAAGATAGGATTTCAATATAAATTCTAATATTTAGTCATTTGATTGGATTTTTTAGGATGCAGGTTTAGCTGAGAAGTATTAAGCATCCATAATACAGGATGTGGCAGAAATATCTACCATTTTAAACGGTCAATAGTGTGATGCCAGTGAACTTAGGCAAGTGACAAAGGTGTCTTCAGCTAGCTAATGTCTATATTTTCAGATCATGGCTTGTATTGCTGCAACGTTTGAATACGTATTTTTGATCATTCCATCCAAAGCAAGACAATAAAGCCACTAAAAAGCAAAGGGTTAGTGGGAGAAATCAATAAAAGAAAAAGAATTAAGAAGACAGATGATAACAATTAACATTGCATTTAAATATTTGAAGATTAAAGTTGACAGGGAAGCAAGAAGCCAGAAGAGAGTTCCACAAGCAAGAAGTGTGAGAAAAGAAACTGTTAGCATAGAACTTTGGTTACATCTAAAATTTCAACTGTTAAATAATGAGACCTAGCTGCTAATCTAGTACTGCCCTTAAATTCATAAAGTCTAGGTACCAGAGTGGAATTCATCAGAACAATTACCATGAAAGTATGTGTGTGTGTGTGTGTGTGTATATATATATATATATATATATATATCTTATTATAAAAAGCAGATTGCGTGTGTGTCTGTACATTTATATATTGGATCGGATTCCCTACATTTTTCAACCGATTTCAACAACACTTCACAGGACTGCGTAAAATTACATTGCAGTGGTTCTGACAGTGCCAAAAATTGGAAAAACACAATTGTTTTTGCATGAAACCAATTTGAAAACACGATTCTGTTGCCAGAATGAAAGGGGGACAACTCATATCAAGTTATACTTATTTTAAAACCCAGGTTGGTTCTGTGTGTGTGTTCGTTTATATGTGGGATCGGATTTCCTACATTTTTCAACCAATTTCAACAAAACTTCACTTTTTTTTTGGCAGGTAATGTTTCTTATTGCCTTGCACACTTTTTTCTTTATTTTTACATTCAGAATGCTTTAAAAATTCCATTTACAAGGCAATTGTTTATAATAAAATTCTATTCAATTGATAGACTCATAACGATTGAAAACAATGTTTTTGTTTGAGTTTGACCAATTCGTAAAAAATAAAAAAATAAAAATAAAAACTAATTAAGTCATGCGTGTCCATCAACCTTAAACAATAATCTTTGTCAATTTTATTTTTCAGTCTTTATGATGGTCGATACTTGATCTATCTCTTACTGTTACATCCCCAGGCAACACCGGGCTCTACTGCTAGTATATATATATATATATATATATATATATATATATATATATATATATATATATATATATATATATGCAAATAAAGAGAAAGAACAGTCAGATTAAGAATCCACAGTTCCTTAGCATTTATTTTTTTAAAAAAGTGCTTGATACAATGTAAGGCATAATATTTTAATATTTTTATTTAAGAATATTTTACATTGCAGCACAGAAATTTCTGTTTCAGAACTTTAAAATAATTTTATGGGTATATCCTGTTATGTTTTATGGTATGTATCCATAAAACTTTAAGATCTTGTTCCCCACTTCTTCTTAACTCTTCAATAAAATACCATTCCGTTTTCAAAAGTAAATCATTTTCACCAAAGTTACCTAACATCGTTCGATAATGGAACAATTTTAAAGTTTCAAAACATAGAAATTTCCCTGTCAGGATGTAAAATACTTTTTAAATATATATATATATATATATATATATAGTTAGTTAGTTTATGAAAAACTTGGTAATCCGTATGGGTAAACCTAAGTAGGATAAAATCCAGAGAGCTCAATGTAAATCCAGAGCAAATAATTTAAATAAAAACAGACCACTTTAAGGTTCGATGTAATAAATTATTTCACCACAGCCCTTTTAAAGGACTGTGGATCATCAGACTTTACTTCCAAACAAAAAATGAAAAGGAAATTTATACATTTTTGCCGGGCAGTATTAGATATATGTAAATTAACGAAGTGATGGGGGGAATACATACATATATATATATATATATATATATATATATATATACAATTGCTTATAAATATTTATTCATACACGCACACACACATATGTATATTTGGTATGGTAAAAATCTTACAAGAAGCTATTTACCATTCACCCTTATGTGAATTGTATAAATATCTAATTTACAAGCAGCATTAACACTTTTGAAATTTCATAAATAAATAAACAGAAGTTTTTCTGGTTAAAAGCAAACTCTGATATTTCAATTGTCAGGCAAGATCTTTTCCTTTTTTTTAAAAAATAAATTTAAGTACTGCTAGCCTTCTAATTCCATACTTCACATTTTCTCTTTCACTCTTCCTTACTGTCTATCTGATTCCCTTCCCTTTCCTTTCCTATACTCACTCTCTTTCTTTCTTCCTCTGGTCTGAATCCTTTTCTATCAACCTCTCCTTTCTTTCCATCCCCTTTCTTTTCTTCATTTCTTTACCTCTCTTTCTCCAAATTATCTGCTCCCTTTCCCTTCTCACTCTCTCTTCTCTATCCTTCTTTGTCATCCTCTCTTCACTTTCCATCTTTTTCTTTTCTTCATTTATTTACCTAGCATTCTTGAAAGTATCTGCTTTCTATCCTTCTCGTCTTTATCCTACTCTGCTTTTTCTTCCTTTACCTCTATTACTGTCTATCTGATTCTTTCTTCTTCCTCACCCTATTAGCACTTCCTCTCTATCATCTCTATCCTTTTCTATCATCCTGTCCTTTTTTCTCTTTCTTTATCTTTCATAATTATCTGTTTCAATTTCACCCTCGCTTCTCTATGCTTTTCTATCATCCACTCCATTCTCCTTTCTTTTCTTTCTTTACCTCACTCTCTTTTTCTCCAGAGCCTATGTTTCCCTTTACCTTTCACTCTCTCTTCTCTATGCTTTTTTGTCATCCTTTCCTCTCTTTCCATCCTCTTTCTTTTCTTCGGTTTTTACCTCTCTTTCTCCAAACTATCTACTCTTTCTCTCTCTTCTCTATCCTTCTCTCATCTTTTTCCATATTCTTTCTTTTTTTACATTTCTTTACCTTACATTCTCCAAACTATCTTCTCCCCTTTTCCTCCTCTCTCTCTCTCTTGTCTCCATCTGTTTCAATCATTCTCCTCTCTTTGCATCCCCTTCATTTCTTTACCTCACTTTCTCCAAACTATCTACTTCACTTTCCCTCTCACCCTCCTCTTCTCTGTCATCCTATCCTCTTATCCTTTCTTTCTTTCTTTCTTTCTTTAGTCCTTTCTTTCTTTAGTCCTTTCTTTCTTTCTTTCTTTTTCTTTTTTCTTTCTTTCTTTAGTTCTTTCTTTCTTTCTCCAACCTATCTTCTCTTTTCCTCTTCTCTCTCTTCCACTTTATCTGCTTCCCTCTCCAACACCTCACTCACTTCTTCTTCCTCTCTCTTCTCTCTCTATCCTCACTGATTTCCTATGCTCTCTCTATCTTACTTTCATCTTTTCACCTGACTCTTCTTCTCTTTCTATCCTTTTCTTCATGATTTCATTTCTCTTCTTGCCTCCCCTCCCTCCTACCTTTCTTTCTGCCTCTTTTTCTTCTGTTTTCAAGTGTTCAGAATAGCTTGATTTCTGTTTTAGAGAGCCTATTTTTTTCCAAGTAAAAGATTCTCTCTAATAATTCATTGCAGGTGTTTTTTTTTTATTTCTGCATTTATTCTTCAATTCCTAACAAATGTAAATATTTTAATTGCCCTCCACCTCTCTTGCAACTGCACGACAATCATTAAAAGTTGAGTGAGTAAGTAGTGCTTGTTTTTATTGTTTTTACTAGTTTTTTTTTCTGTAGACCCATCCACCTTCTTTAATTCTTTGTTATCAAAGAATCGCTATGGCAACACTAAATTTTATTCTCCTACTGTTCCATGCCCAGAGCCAATGGACACCTGCTCTTACACTCTTCTATTACAGAGGCAGGGTTTCTATGCGACAACAACCACTGCAGGTGGCAGAGAAAGGTTTGATTGGCTCACCCTCCCTCTACACTTTCTCTTATTCAGATCTTCAAATGGGAAGATTTTTATTCTCTCTCTCTCTGGCAGATTATATTCCATTTAGCAACAAGTGTCAGTTAGATCAGAAACTCAAAGAAAAATATTTATATAGTGGAAGAGACTGTGAATACCCTTGACACTGGTAATAATAATGTGATGACAATGCTCCGAAAAATTTAAACAAATAAAATCCGATATTTTATCGCCCACTCGTAGCATTTCGCTGACAGCATGCAAATCGGATGCAAAAGAATTCCATAAAAATGAATATTTCTAAATTTGTAATTCCGATGATGAAGCTCAAGATTTTTGTCCTTGGAGAAAGTAATGCCAAGCCTTTCTCTAATTGTGTCTTCCTTATTTGAGATTGCAGTTTCAATTTCTTCACTCACACCATCAACAAATCTTTTCATTTTCAAAGTTACTCTTAAAAACATTATTGTTCAGAGTTATATTATCTTGAAATTTATTATTAAATGAATTTTTAATTTTCATCTGTTATTTCCTTTCTTTTATTTTGCTTGTTATACATACACTAATAGTATTACTGATAATATTATCTTGAATTTTTCTCTAAGAGGAAATATTTTCAGTTATTTTCCATTGCTTATTATCAAAACTGTTACTTTCAATTAAATTCATATTTCAGAAAGAAGTGGATTGAATATTAATATAAAGTGATTAAAGATGAAAGACAGACATTTGAGCTGTAGAACGTTAGTTCAAGTTCAGTTGGAAGCTATTTCTTTCTTTATTATTTTATAGTTTTGTGATAAAAAGTAAAAAAAAATAATAAGATGGCATACTATTAATAGAATAATAGTAATAATGAAGAGAGTGTTGACTCCAAGTGGTGTGATAAAAATCAACAATGATAAGATGGAGTAAACATAATAATAAAATGATAGTAATAATGAAGAGTGTGTTGACTCCAAGTGGTGTGATAAAAATCAACAATGATAAGATGGAGTAAACCTAATAATAAAATGATAGTAATAATGAAGAGTGTGTTGACTCCAAGTGGTGTGATAAAAATCAACAATGATAAGATGGAGTAAACCTAATAATAAAATGATAGTAATAATGAAGAGTGTGTTGACTCCAAGTGGTGTGATAAAAATCAACAATGATAAGATGGAGTAAACCTAATAATAAAATGATAGTAATAATGAAGAGTGTGTTGACTCCAAGTGGTGTGATAAAAATCAACAATGATAATATGAAGTAAACATAATAATAAAATGATAGTAATAATGAAGAGTGTGTTGACTCCAAGTGGTGTGATAAAAATCAACAATGATAAGATGGAGTAAACCTAATAATAAAATGATAGTAATAATGAAGAGTGTGTTGACTCCAAGTGGTGTGATAAAATCAACAATGATAATATGAAGTAAACATAATAATAAAATGATAGTAATAATGAAGAGTGTGTTGACTCCAAGTGGTGTGATAAAAATCAACAATGATAATATGAAGTAAACCTAATAATAAAATGATAGTAATAATGAAGAGTGTGTTGACTCAAGTGGTGTGATAAAATCAACAATGATAATATGAAGTAAACATAATAATAAAATGATAGTAATAATGAAGAGTGTGTTGACTCCAAGTGGTGTGATAAAAATCAACAATGATAAGATGGAGTAAACCTAATAATAAAATGATAGTAATAATGAAGAGTGTGTTGACTCCAAGTGGTGTGATAAAAATCAACAATGATAATATGAAGTAAACCTAATAATAAAATGATAGTAATAATGAAGAGTGTGTTGACTCCAAGTGGTGTGATAAAAATCAACAATGATAATATGAAGTAAACATAATAATAAAATGATAGTAATAATGAAGAGTGTGTTGACTCCAAGTGGTGTGATAAAATCAACAATGATAATATGAAGTAAACATAATAATAAAATGATAGTAATAATGAAGAGTGTGTTGACTCCAAGTGGTGTGATAAAAATCAACAATGATAATATGAAGTAAACATAATAATAAAATGATAGTAATAATGAAGAGTGTGTTGACTCCAAGTGGTGTGATAAAAATCAACAATGATAATATGAAGTAAACATAATAATAAAATGATAGTAATAATGAAGAGTGTGTTGACTCCAAGTGTTTCGATAAAAGCAGCAATGATAAGATGGCATAAAACTAGTAATAAACTCTTGTTTGGAAACTGTTCATGTTATATACATAAAAGTCAATATTATTATAGATCTTTGGCAACTCATTTCTAATATTGGCAAAAAATTGGTGTCATTTTGACCTTATATTGATACTGGTTCAGTTTATAAAAAAAACTCCATTGTTTTAATTTAGTAGTTTAGAGAAACACCAGCTTCTTACAGGACATTCAAATTCAATTATATTAAATTAATAGCATTAGTTCTGTTTAATCTTCAAGTGAATTTTGGATTCCAAAATTTGCTTGAAGATGAAACAGAACTAATGCTTTTAATTTAATACAATTGAATTTGAAGTTTTTGGTTGCTGTTTTTGAAACACGGTAATTCCTGTGTAGTGATGAAACCATATTTTTAAATCAGTTAACTTATAATATTTTCTCTGTAAATTTACGTTGAGCACTGTTTTGTAAAAAAAAAAAAATCAATAAGAACATCGGATTATATAGCTTACTGTTCTTCCTTTTTTTTACTATAAAATATATATATATATATATATATATATATATATATATAGATAGATAGATTACATATTTATAATGTATCTCTCATTACAGTGGAAGAAAGTTAACTCACAAAAAGAAATAGGTGGATGACTTTATATGTAACTATGAAAAATATTGATATTTTCAACTGTTGTGCAACATTATACATGACAATATATATTCACCTGAACAAAACTGTCTTTTTGCCCCATTTATAATATATATATATATATATATATATATATATATATATATATATATACATGTCTTCTTTGTATTAAGCTCTAATTAATGCATTATTTATAGTTTATCAACCTAATTTATGGTATTGTTCTTGTACTTCAACAAGAAGATGCCTCCAAAGAATTACTATTAGGTTGGTGCAAAAATAATTACGTAATAATGTCGTTTTTTGACGTATTTTTTAAGGTCAAAAAACGACATTATTACGTCATTATTTTTGCACCAACCTAATATATTCATGATAACACAGCTGATTTCCTTGCAAACTTTTCTCAAGTTGGTTAATCTTACCAGGGTTTTCTAGAGGTTCTACAAATAGAGAAAGTATGTTTCGCTCCTAGTTTTGAAGAGAATTTCAGCAAGAAACAACAATAGCAAGAAAATAACATTCAAGGGTTTACAAATCCCCCACACCAAGACAAAACAGAGGCATTAGAAGACAAGTTTCAAGAAACAGAAAGCAAACTCATTGAAGGAATTTAAAATTGTTGAAAACAGCTATGCATCTCAGTGAACAGAGGCTAGAAGATTGTTTGAACAGGGTTTTCAATTTTGAAAGTGTGCCAAAAGCTAAAATAATGTCAAGGAGCAGAACCATGTTGTTTCGAGTTACAAAGAAAAAAAAACACGTTTTGTCAAGTGATCTTAATGATGAAAGCAGGTTTGACGTTGTTGGGGATGCTCCTGAAAAGCATCTTAAAATACTCAGTGAAATATATTAGCTTGACTGTCTTCGAATGTCAAACATGAAGAGGTAGACATTTTGATATGAAGTGCTTTCTGAATTAATGGGGTTTCATGGCTACTTAGTTGTGAAAATCTCTGCAAAATTCCAGTATATTCCCTATTGTAGATTATTCCCAAATGTCTAAAGTATATCCTGATGGAAATGTCTTCTAACAGAAGAAAGCTTCTTGTCATTCCACAAGATGTTTTAAAATGCCAATAAAATTATATACGCAAAGAGAAAAAACAAAAGATGGAAAATTAAAAAGGTGTAATACTGAGAATTGTCAGCCTGACCAAGATTCCCTTAACCCTAGAACACTAACCATCAATTAAAGTTACACCACTACTAACCATGGGTATACCATACCTGATTTTGAATATATCAAAAAAAAATATTAAATATAAATCTTTATTTGAAATATTTTCCATGCAGCCACTTCAAACTTTTTACTTTGAGTTAACATTAATAGGAACTGAAAAACATTATTTAGGCAAGAAAATCAGGTACTGAAAATTGTAATTAAAAATAGGAAAATTTGTGCTGGGTACTCTATACCCATGGTTAGTGTTCTAGGATTAAAAAAAGATCTGATGTTTGTTATTTTCAGCTGATTTGAAGAAGTTGGTTGGGCATTTCCCCTGTATTTAACCCTGTGCCTGTCCTGCACATCATATAGAATGCACAGGACATGTGATTTCCATGTCTGTGCATCATATGTGAGGCACATGAGCCATGATTTTAAGAGAGTGGTAAAAATGAGGACGCTTAAAAAAAAGAGTCTATTATTGAGCAGGACGTCTGAGGAAAGGCCTAATCTAATATTTTGTGAATCATATATGACCATAGGATGCTTGACTGACAATATAAGGTCTCAAATAAAAGATATCTTTTTACACTTTATTGAAATGATTATAACCTTT